TCAACCCAAAGTGGTAGGTTTTCACTCGTTGGGAACCCAGAGCCCACGAGGAGTCCTTGGGGCCCTTGGGGCCTGGGCGGGCGGCGAATCAGGCAGGCCCGCCCGCCCTCCCTCCCTCCTCCTTCCATGAGAATGAATGACATGCCGATGCTGATGGCGATGTGTAGTGTCTCTAGCAGTTGGCAGCAAGGACGCGTTGCAGCCTCTGCCGCTGGACGCACAAAGCAAACCGAGCAGCCAAGTTGACTGTGCAAAACGCGCAGCTGCCGAGGACTGGAACTGACAAGCTGCACTCGAGAGATCAGGATATGCACCCGTGAATCATTTCTCCTCTGGATTCTCTGTGGCCTCCCCGTCCGCTGGGCCCTTCTGGTCCTCGTTCTTCTTGGCCTTGGATGGCGGCGGTGGCTCGGGGTCGCTAGCAGAGCGCTTCGGTGGAGGCTTGCTCGGCTCACAGAGGTTCTTGGCATGCGGCTTGAGCTCCTCGTACTTCTCGAGCGCAGCACGCGCCCGAGTGATGACTCCTGCTGGTTCGCAGCCCCACTCGGGCTGACTATCGCCTCCCAGCGCGGGATCAATCATGGACAGGAGCTCGGCAATCTCGATGGTGAGGCGTTCGATGTCCTCCATCAAAGGCACGGCGTATTTCGGCTTCCCGTTCGTGTTGAACCACATAGTCCATACAGCCGCGACCGTCTGCATGTCTTCGAGCGTGTCCTTGTGCTGAACCAGCAGACTGAAATCGCAGGTGTCTCCATCCTCCTGCGAATCGATCTCCACAGATTGGCTGGCCATCTCAGGTAGGATGTATGTTCCGATGCACAGGTCGTGAACTCGCAAGGGCCTCTGCAAACACGGCTGCGGGTGGGTGAGTGGAGAAGAGGATGGGCTTATGAGGCCCCCAAGTTTGTTTCCAGGGGGGCTTTTGAGAGTGCCCTTGCAAGATCCCGAACAACATCCCTGAGGTTAACTGCCCACGCCCCAGGCACGATTGAGACGATCGCAAGCTGGAGGAGCCGCATGGGCTCAAGTAGATGGGTGGAGAGGTGGCAGCAACAGTATAATGGTGGCCTCGAGACTCTTCCGAGGCCGTTCGACTCCCCAATACACCAAAAGTTCTGAAGAGACTCGGCTCCGCCAAGACCTGCAGACGCCCAAGACAGAATGACACCCCGCCAAGGACTGAAGTGCAACTTGCCTGGAGCTCGGGGGCCCAGCGGAGGAAGTGGAAGAGAAGTCAGGAACTTCGGGGCCACGGCTGGACGCGATGATGATGATGCTGCTGATGATGATGATAATGATGATACTGGTGATGATGATGATGATGGGTGGTGATGATGATGATGATAATTATGATGATGGTGATGGTGGTGGTGGTGATGACGATGATGATGCTGGTGATGATGATGATGATGATGATGACGATGGTGTTGCTGATGATGATCACCTCATCTTCTCCTTTTGGCCTCCCGTCTGCCTCACCGAGCCCCACCACTCCCACCCTCTCCCCTCTTCACGCTATCTACTGCTCTTCACACACTTTCATACTCTTTGCGATGTTTCACCCCCAATGTCCATGCTGGTGGTGAAGGTGACGATGCTGATGATGTTTTTTTTTTTGCAGAGCGCACCCCGCGCCCGCGCCAGACGCACACCTCTGTCAGAGGTGAACGGGTGTCTACACATCCTGGAGCTCGCTGTGTGCACCAGCAGCCCTCTCTGCCCGCAGCTCAGCGGTCTTCGCCTGGCCCGCCCTCGACGCCATCGTCTTGGCGTACTCGCTGTTCTTGTCGTAGCCCAGCAACGCTAGGCGACGCTTCTCAGCAGCCCAAGCCCTGCTGTGCATCTTGTTGAGGTACTTCTCCCACTCCGTCTTCACGGAGCTCCCGTCGGCCTTGCCGGCCTTGGCCTTGCTGGCCTTGGCCTTGCTGGCCTTGGCCTTGCTGGCCTTGGCCTTGCCCTTGCTGGCTTTGGCTGCCCCCAGGGTCTTGCCCTCCACCTGCACCTGCGCGACCTTCGTGCCAGCCAAAGTCGATTCGCCAGCTTTGAAGGCCTTGCTGAGCTTACTCCACTCCTTGGCTGACATGCCCTGCGCGTCGGTGTCAGCGAGAGCCTCCATCTCGCTCAGCTTGAGGTCGCCCTCAGCGTGTACTCCCGACAGATGCGGCGTGTGCTGCGTGATGGGGCCCTCTGTGACCGTGATGGTGGCCGTGCTGGTCGTCGTCATGTAAACGTCGCGGTAGAGATCAGCATCGGCCATGTTGGTCTTCTTTTTCAGCCGTCTCAGTGGGAGGCATTGGAGAAGGCGGCGCAGCTCAGGATTGTCTCTTCCGACGTCGAGCTTCGCATCGTTCGTCTCGGACTCCGCGTCTGACCCCAGCAAGTCGACCACGGGCGCAATGACCCGACGCGGTGATACCATCTGGACGTCGTCGTCGTCGTCGTCGTTGGCGTCGCCCTTGCGATCCGTGCCGGGCTTGGGCTTGCGAATGTTGACGATGAGCTTGCCCCAAATCGTCTGGAACTTGCGAGCCCACATTTTCGGGAGCGTCCGATCAGGATTCGACTTGTGGTTCGCGATCTGGGAGATGATGCCTCTGTACGTGTAGGGCGCCTTTTCCGCAACCTCGGAACTCAACTCAACGCCCGACGAGGCTGCCCAACTCTTGATGCCAGCCATCATGCTGAGCTGGTGGATGTTCAGGCCGTTGCTGTACTCGAGGAGATGGTTGATCGAGCCAGCGAACTTGGACGCCTTCTCCCACGATGGCGCCCTCTTGAAATCTAGGGAATGAGCATACGGCATGAAATTCTTCGGCTGCGTCGCACTCGAGGGTATCATCTCGAGAGATTCCACGATCTTCTCGATGGGTATTTCGGTTGACTGCCGACGGGCCCCGTCTGTCATTGTTGGTCAGTGCGGGCGAGAGGCCTCTCTTCCTAAAAGCTTGAGCCAAAATGGCTACGGACGTGTTCGCAGCCTGCCTGCAAACGCGCGAAGCGCCAACAGGACAGACCGTCATGCCAGGCTGCGGCCATTCTCATGTTATTGTGTTTGTGTGTTTGTTTGTTGTTTTGTTTTTCGCCCAGGAAGCGTGTTTTTTTGTCTGTTTGTTTGTTTGTTCTCATGTCGAGGCTGCTGACCTCGCCCAGGAAACGTGTTTTTGTCTGTTTGTTTGTTTGTTCTCATGTCGAGGCTGCTGACCTCGCCCAGGAAACGTTGTTTGTTCGTTTGTTTTGTTTGTTCCTCCGACCAATACTGGCGAAGAGCAAAGGAAGGTAGCCTCAGAGCGAACGGGCCAATCAACAGGCAATAGCTTACAAACAGGAGGAACAGCCCTGCATCCGTGAAACTGCTTCCAAGACAGACGCCATAACCACGTTCAGTCCGCCGACCCCTACGGGGTGCCTGCCAATGCGTGCGCTTCCATATGTTCTTTCTCCTTTTGTTGCTGCGCTGGTTTCTTGCCACGGTCTCGTCTTCGTTTTCGTCGTTGTCGTTCTCCTCTGCCTCCTCCTAGTCCTCCTTTTCCTCCTCGTCCCCTCCTTTCCCCTCCTCCTCCTCCTCCTCCTCCTCTTCCTCCTCTCCTTCTCCTCCTCCTCCTCTTCCTCCTTCTCCTCCTCTTCCTCATTTTCCTTCCCCTCCTCCTCTTTGTCTTCCTCCTCCTGCTCCTCCTCATCATCATCTTTCTCGTTCTCCTCTTCTTCTTTTCCACCTCCTCTTCTTTCTCCTCATCCAGATCCCGCTTCCCTTCCTCCTTGTCCTTATTCTCCTCCTCCTCCTCCTCCTCCTCTCCTCCTCCTACCCCTCCCCCTTTTCTCATCTTCCTCATCCGCCTCCTCCCAATCCTCCTCGTCCCGTCCTCGGGCCCTACAAGACATCCATAACCTCGCCACCGCGCGTAGGTTGATGCGTGTATGAGGCACGCTCGCATGATAACGCACGCGCAAAAACGACAGAGCACAGGCCGACTATGGCCTCCGAGGTCCCAGAAACAGTGCGGTCGCGGTCCGCGCGGTGAGGTCGTTGGGGATTCCGATGTCACCGCGCGATCCGTCTTTGATGGGCCTGTTTTCCACCACCACCGTAAGTTGGAGGGGGAAGGAGGAGGAGGAGGACGAGGACGAGGACGAGGAGGACGTAGAAGATGAGGAAGAGGAGGAGGAGGACCCCCTCCCCCTAACTTGTGGTGGCGGCGGTGGAAAACAAACCCATCAGTCACTGCACGGTCGTGGGGCCCCGACGAGCGACGAGGACCTCGAGAGGGATGCTGCGGGGGGCTCCGGCCGTCTGGCGGTGCCGGCCCACCAGGCCCGCGGCAGGACGGCGTCCCGGCGCGCCCGCGGCCAAGGGCTGCGAGGCGGGTGGGTGGCCTCGCCGACGGGGCGCTGCAGAGCGGCGGCGGGAGCGTTCCAGGATTCAGTCGGGCCTGTCCCTGTACAGGAGGAACATTCAAAGATAGTCCATACCAAATCTGGGGTCTACAGGAGGAATGTTCAAGAAGAGCCCCAAACATAATCAGGGGGCGATTTGTTTGACAATTGTTGAACATGCTTTTGGACATTCGGAGGGTATTTTTCATGTTTCTTGATCCGCCTGTAGGTGGACATGCCCGACCTAATTCCAGGGCGGCGGTGCCGACGCCGGATCGGGTCTCCATGGGCGGATGCCCGGCCCAGGGCGCAGCAAGTGCCACCTCGCTCTCATCGGAGAAGAGAACACCACATAAACAATAACTTTTGGCGCTCCGCGCGGATTTCTTGGATCCGCGCGCCAGAGAGGGGGGTCCAGCCCGAATCCAAGAAATCCACGCGGAGCGCCAAAAGTTGTATGTTTATGTGGTTTGTTCTTCTTCTATCTCATCTTCACCTCGCTCACGGCTGTTGTTGTTGTTGTTGGGGGGTATGCACGCCCGGACGGCGGCCCCCGCCGACCTATCAGAAGACGAAGCGCAGAGGCCGACACGAGATACCCGCCAGGAGGAAGGGGGAGGCGGAGCAGGAAAAGGGAGAGGAGGAGGAGGAGGAGGAGGAGGAGGAAAAGGGGGAGGAGGAGGAGGAGGAGGAGGAGGAGGAGGAGGGGGAGGGGGAGCAGGGGAGGAGAGGATATCCCGTAGCGGGCCACAGGGACACCCAAACACTCGTTTGCGCAGGGTCCAAATGGTGGGCGGTTCCCCCCTGATAAAGCGGTTGGGATCACTGTGCACCCGTACATGCCGGACAACGTACACAACATAATAGCGTACCACACACACACACTCAAGAGTACGCACAACATACACAAAGTACATACACGCACAGTGCGTATCCCTTTATGTGACTCCCCGTCCATGCGACGTTCCCTCCCATGCGGTTCGCAAGCGGCCTGGATCCTCCGAGGTTGCATCACATGCCAACAGGGTGCAAGACCCCCACCCAAAGAGGCCCGGTGCAAGACCGGACCCCGGCGCAGCGGGCAGCCCGAAGGCGAAGGCGGCACAAGCAACCAAGCAAGAACACGGGCACGCACAGCTCGCAGCTTGGCGAATTACAGGATTACGCTCGAAACCCGCCAGATCCCGGACAACGTACACAACAGAATAGCGTACAACACACACTCACGAAACACACGGTACCATACACGATGTACATAAACGCACAGTGCGTATCCCTTTACGCGACTCCCCGTCCATGCGACGTTCCCTCCCATACGGTTCGCAAGCGGCCTGGATCCTCCGAGGTTGCATCACGTGCCATCAGGGTGCAAGACCCCCACCCAAAGAGGCCCGGTGCAAGACTGGACCCCGGCGCAGCGGGCGGCCCGAAGGCGAAGGCGGCACAAGCAACCAAGCGAGAACACGGGCACGCACAGCTCGCAGCTTGGCGAATTACAGGATTACGCTCGAAGCCCGCTAGAGTTCCCCCACCCACCCTCCGAGAAATGCCAGAAGAACCAAACGTTTCCAAACTGCTCGGTAGCCACTGGCGTCCCTGGTCGCCTGGCCAAAACATGTAAGGTCGACACCTTAGGACCGGCAGCGCGCCGCACAGTAACCCGCGCTCCACCTACACCAGGGTGCGGTGGTCAGGCGCCCCCCAGCGCTAACGACTAGTGTGTGGCCAGGGGAGATGCCCGGAGACATCAACCGCCCCCGGCCCAGGGACTGTCGAGTGATGCCCTCCCGCCCTGGCAGGAGACACGAGCAAGAACAAAAGGAACGAACGACCCAGGGCACAATGCGCACAGCGGACTCGGAGTCCATCCGCTGTGCACTGCAGGGGTTTGCCGTGCCGGCTCGCGCAGCATTTCTGAAAACCATGGACTAGTCTCCATCCTATGTAGCCGGCCCGTTGCCCCACGACCCGGCCGGGCGGCCTGGGCATCCATGGGTCTACATAATCACAAGCGCGCAAAACGAGGCACAGTAGCTCCTTTCCGACTCGGCGGTCTGTGGACGCGCCGGTCGAGATGGCGAGTCTCGACCCGACGCCGCGGCCCAAGGAGCAGGGCGTGGGGCGGTGAGGATCAAAACCGCGCCCTACGCTGAAGAGTCTGAGCACGGACAACAAAACCAGTACCACACAGCCCAAAAGACCCTCCTTCGCAAAACAACTATAGTTCATGTAGACTCGTGGCACGAAACACACGCACAAGCACAACACACATCACGCACAATAAAAGAGTGGAAACACACCTCCGAACGCAAGCTCCTTGAACCAATACTGCATGACCCCGCCGCCCGGTGGCGCATCGGTGGCGCATCGGCTGTCTGCATCGGTGGCGCAGGTCGGTTGGGGTGCTGGGGGGCGGGGGCGTCCAGGAGCCTTCTCGCGGCCGCGGCCGGAGGCTCGACGCTGCTCGCAGAGAGATTTGTCAGGGTGGACCGCCAGGGGGGGTCTGGGACACGCGTTGAGCGGACTTCTGGCCAGGATGGGGGTACTGAGAGAAAGGGGTGCTGAGATGATTGTCGTCGTCTTCGGCCTCCTGGGGCCCTCGGCTGGCCCTGAGGGCAAGGACATGGTCTCCTCACGATGAATGTGCTCCGTGCCATAATGATGGCACGGTGCCACGTTGCATCAAGCCACGTGGCACCTGCCAGGTTTCCTGCGCCGCGCTGGCGATCTGAGGCCGATTCGCGCAGGCCGTCGCGAGCCCCGATCGCGAGAGCGGCTGCGAGTGATCTACAGTGCAGGGAGCGGTTGCCGAGCAGCTGGTGCGCAGGCGCGAGGCGCGCGCTGGCGCCGCCGACGCTGCCCGGAGAGCTGGGCTGACGCCACGGGACGCTGCGCTGGAGCTGCGTGGAGTTTCGGCCCTGGCGCCCCAACCTGCCGAAGACACGGTGGCGCATACACGCATACACTCATCTATCCGCCGCCCCCTGCTCGCAGGGGTGCACGGCGTGCTGGACGTTTCAGGTTTTGGTTTTGGTTCTTTTTCCAAAAGAACTTCCTAGTGGGCTCCGGCAGAACCCGCCGGCCACCCGGAATTTCCCCAAACGTGCTCAACGACCGCAAAAAATCCTCCAAGAACGGCCGTTTCGCTCGGGACATCCTCAAAAAATCGCGAAGATGGCCCAAGATGGCCTCCAAGTCCGCCCGAGATGGTCCAAGACGGCCTCCAAGACGGCCCAAGAGAGTCCAAGACGGCCCAAGACGGCCCAAGAGGCCCCCCAGAGGCCTCCCAGACGGCCCAAGAGGCCTCCAAGAGGTCCTCCAGGAGAGTCCGAAGAGGCCAAAATCATTGATTTTCCTTTGGTTTTTGAAGGATTTTGGCATTTGCGCCTTTTCGGCTCTCCGACGGCTCAAGACGGCCCAAGAAGCCCCCAAGATCGCCCAAGAGGCCCCCAAGAGAGCCCCATGATGGCCCAAGTGGCCTCCAAGATGGCCCCTAGAGGGCCCCAAGAGGGCCCAAGAGGCCTCCAACACGCCCAAGATGGCCTCCAAGACGCCCAAGATGGCCTCCAAGACGGCCCTGGAGCGCCCCAAGAGGGTCCCCCGTTGGCCCAGAAAGGCCCCCAAAACGGCTCCCGACGGCGTCAGACGTGCCAGGAACCCACCAAGATGGCCGAAGTTGGCTCGAAGCTGGCCCAAAAGGGCCCAAGAGGCCCCCAAGAGGGCCTCCAGGAAGGCCAAAAGATGCCAAAATCACTGATTTTCCAAAGGTTTTTGATGGATTTGGGCATTTCCCTTTTTTCGGCCTTCCGACGGCCCGAGACGGCCCAAGAGCCCCCAAAGATCGCCGAAAGATCGCCCAAGAGGCCTCCAAGACGGCGACGATGACCATCAAGACGCCCACGTGTTCCCCGAAGGCTTTCCAAACCGATTCGGGGAACACATGGTCCGATGGCTTGGCAGGTCTGGCCTCAACGTTCGGCCACATAGGCGCTTCCACAAAGGCAGGGGGCGGCGGCGATTCGCCGTAGGCGTCTTCGATACATCTAGATATGCACACACACACATATATATATATATATATATATATATATATACACATATATATATATATAATATATATTATATATATATATAGTGCTCCGCTCCTTCCTCCCGCATGCCCGGCCGCTCTTCTGATGACGGCGCGTGGCAAGAAGTCTCGGTGAAGAGGCACGCCCTATGGCGTGGCAGCGGGGTGGGGGACACAGGGCGATAGCCGGCAGAAGAACTGCAGGCTACCTGACTGCGACACCCAACAGCTGCAGGTTGGGGGGCCCTCTGGCGCGCCCAACCCCCTAAACCGACAGGGCGCGAGGAGCCAACCTACGCCCACCGCGGCCAAACAGGCGAGTGGGCGGCGGATGGCGCCCCGAAGATCATGCTAAAAGTGGCGGCGGGGAGGTGGAGGTGCCGAAATGCCTGCGGGTGCTATCACTCCGCACTAGCATCCGGGGCGTATTCATAGTGTTCCGCTCCTTCCTCCCGCATGCCCGGCCGCTCTTCTGATGACGGCGCGTGGCAAGAAGTCTCGGTGAAGAGGCACGCCCTATGGCGTGGCAGCGGGGTGGGGGACACAGGGCGATAGCCGGCAGAAGAACTGCAGGCTACCTGACTGCGACACCCAACAGCTGCAGGTTGGGGGGCCCTCTGGCGCGCCCAACCCCTTAAACCGACAGGGCGCGAGGAGCCAACCTACGCCCACCGCGGCCAAACAGGCGAGTGGGCGGCGGATGGCGCCCCAAGTCTCCCTTTCTACGGAGTCAGAACGGCGTCACAAGGCGGCATCTTGGCGAAGCAGCCCTGCTCTGTAGCGGAGCTGCTGCTGCGTCGCCCGCGGGATCGCCATCTCCGTCAACAGCTGGAGCCCCTCCGCGACGTAGATCCTGGCTGTGGTCTGCGAGCGCCAGCGGCCTAACTCCATAAGAGTTGGCATGTCACGCCGCCTCCGGAAATGCTCTGTGGCGCCACCCCGCCGGATGCTGTACCAGCGGAGGCCAAAATTCAGATTGAGTGCAGCTGCAGCTCTGGCCAGACGGGTCCGGTGGGTAGTGGCCCGCACATCTGACAGGGGCTCAGTGCAACCCCGGTGCTGCATGTAGACGTAAAGGAGTTTGACAGTCCAAGGGTCGAGCAACGGAAGCGACTCCAAGCAGCCGCCACGCGCGCCTCCTTTGCTGCGTGGAAGGACCCACACCCCAGACGTCAAGTCACCAGCAAGTGTGAATTGAGAACGAGTGGCGTTGAAGAGCTCCATGGGCCTCGCGAGCGTGTCAAAACCGAGGAGAATGAAGAGCCCGGTGCAACGCCATTGCTGTGCAAAGCAGTATTGTGCGAGCGCGTACGCCCACAGTTTCGGAAGTGGCGGGGCTCGCGAAGGCAACTCTGAGCGCTGCCATGCGGTCAGGAGGCGCCACGACCCTCGGATGCAGCCTCGAACTTGAGGAACAAAATGTGAAATACCAGAAAGCGCATCCGCGGCCATGGAGCGAGGCTCGCCTGTTTCCCATAACTCTTCGATGTACCCTGACAGCAATGTGTCAAGCGCCGCTGCTGTATTCGGCCAGCGGCGGCCAGAAGTGACGATGTGCTGCAAAAAGCTCCGGACAGCGTCAGAATACCGGAGCCGGGTGGCTGGCCGAACTAAAAGATCACGCAGCCTGCCCAGAGAGCGGCGCTCCGCCGCTTTGCCGCCGCGGCCGGCTGCGCCTGCAGCCGCCTGTCCGCGGCGGCGGCCCCTGCTCAGGGGTGCTCCAACCTCCGCCGCTTCCACCGACTTGGCCCGTCTGCGGGGTTGCCCTTGCTTGGCACCCACCCGTAGAAGGCACGGAAGTTAGCAAATCCGCTGATGGCAGCAATGCGGAGGAGCACTTGGTTGAGGTTGTTGGATGAGGACCGCCCTTTCGCGAGCGCTCCGATGGCCGCCTGGCTGTCCAAGAGGAACAGTTTGCGCTTCCCGTGGTGCTTGGGAAGCTTCAGATGAGAGCGCAAGAAGTCCAAGACAGCAGTAGCCTCCAAGACGTTGATGTGTTGCTGGTTCCGGAACGCGTAGGACAGCGCAACCCTCCGGGTCCATAGCCCTGCGTCAAGAGGAGCCCGGGGCCACGCATCGAAGCGATGGGGGAGGCCTGCGTCAAGCCGGATGTCTGACCCCCGGTGATCAGCAAGCCGGATGAATTCCTGGACAAGCTCCGCCTCGGGCGCGAGCCTGGAATCGGTGGCTGCGGACGCTGGCGCAGGAGCAGCCGAGATGGCGGGGCCGCCGTGCGCCTCGGTCCACTTGCGCGTCGAAGCGCGCTGCGCCTCCGAATCGAGCCTCGCCCATGTAGTCCAAAGATCGTCAATGCAACCCCGCTGCAGGCCTTCCGGGGGCTGCGGCGAGGACGCCACGAGCACGAAGTCCCGCACCATCCGCGCGATGACAATGGGGCACGCGCTGCTGACAAGCTCGGCCTTGGCATCCTCGAGGCCGGTTTTCGGGGAAAGGCGCTCGACGGGCCGGAAATGGCCCCAGCGGAAGCCCAGCATGCGAATCTGTTCATCAGCTTTCAAGCGCCGGGGGCCATGGCGGTCGGCGACCAGATTCTTATCCTCGTAGTGGTGTGCGGGGTGCCTGAACAAATCGTGGACGCAGCGCTTCCACGCCTTCTCAGAAACCTCCGCAGGACGCTCTGGCTGCCGCCCTGGCGCGGGGCGCGGCGCCGGCGGCGTGAACGGCTGGAAAGGCGTTTCTGCGTTGACGACGCGCCTGGCCCCAGACTCGAGGAAGTCGTGCACGGCCGGCGTACGAGAGCAAGAGAATGTCCAGAATGCCCTACCACGCTCCGAACCTGTGGGCCTGAAATCGGAAGCCTCGCACGGCCGGAAGCCGCGAACCCAGAAGAAGGACTCCCGGGCGCAGGGGAGGGCGGCAGTAGCTTGCACGTGGATTGGCTGGTGGCCGACCTGCCTGCTCACCTCCTGCACGTCCGCCTCTGCGATGGTCGCCTCGTACTCGATGAGGTCCGCGACGCCCCAAGCAGCGTGCCGCCGCAAGGACTCGGAGATGCGCAGCGGCACCTCGAGGTGAGAGATGGGCCCCTTCGAGTCCGGGCCGATCCGCGCCACGCAGCTGTACTGGAGAATCCGGCGGGCCTGGGGATACCAGCTACTCCACTTGAGAACCTCCTCGTGCGTGACGGCGGAGGCGTCGGGGTAGCAGAAGGCCTGCGGCCAGGCTGCGCGGACCACGCCGCGGGCGACCTTCGACGGCTCGACGGCGATAATACCGCAAGGCGTGATGCCCAGCAGATCGAGGGCCATCGCTGCCCCACCCGTGGCGTCGAACACGCTGACGACGAGAATGTCGGAGGGGCAAGCGGGCGCGCCGGCGCGGAGCGCGCCGAGACGGGCCACCCCCTTGGGCGAAAGGCCAGCAGAGACACATGCGCCTCCACCCGTCTCAGAGGCGTCGGTGGCCACGACTTCCCCGGACACCTGCGCGGCGAGGTCTGTCCAAAGGAGGGGCGTGGCGAGAACGACTGCCAGCAACTCGTCCGCCGCGTCCCCGCCGAGGGGCCCGGGCAGCCGCCCGACCGAGAGCTCGCGGAAGATCCGGCCGAGGAAAGAGAAGTAGCCGCGGCCGAACTGCATCATGAAGGTGATCCGCCCGACGTCCGAGAGGAGGTCGTCATCGCGCACGCGCTCTGCGGTGAGGTGGCCCAGCGCGCGCCCGAGACAGTAGGAGCGCCGCGATGGCGACGTGCCGACGAGCCTGTCGGCCCCCCGCAGCTGCGCTCCGAGCGTCTCCCAATTGATGGCCCCCTCGGCAGACTTCTCCGGAGCCCGGCGGACGCCGGCGGCAGCGTAGGCAGCTCGGACGGCGAGCTGCTCACCGCTGGGTTTGAACACGTACTGCTCCGCCTCCGTCTCCAAGACCACCTTGCCCTGGCCCCAGTTATCTACGTAAACGGAAAACCAGTTCCGGGGCAGACCTGCGCTCGAGGGGGCACGGTGGCCCATGCGGACAAGGAGGTCAGCTGAGATGCCAGCCCCGCTCGGCGCCTTCCCGGTGACGAGGTTCTCGTGCGCCTCCTGGATGAACGCCACGGCGTTGACCCAGCCCATGGGGCACGTCCGCAACCGCGGCCGCACCCAGGCGGAGCCAGGGAGCCCGAGGACCTCTCCAGGGACGGCCTCCTCGATGACGAAAGCACCCCTCCAGGCCCGCGGCACCCCGTAGAGGTGGAAGCACCCGCTCTGATCCTCCGAATAGTGGACCTGAATCTCGTCAGGGTGCAGAACAAGAAGGGGCCAAAGGCCCGGGTAGCCCATGGCCTTCGCAGCACCCCCATAATGCCGCTGCAACGCGTTCGTCGGCACGAGGTTCACGATGAGGCGAAGTACCCGACGCTGACGATTACCTACTTGTTTCCAGGATTTGTGGACCCCAAAGAGCCCGTTCCGGACAGGGACGCCTCGATGCGTCCACGTCTCCTCCGGGACCTCGGCCTCCATGACGCCTAACTTGCACAATGCCTCCACTATCTTGTAGTACTCGGCCTTGGACTCTACGAGGACGCGAGCTTTCGGGAGCGGCTCCTGGACTTCGTCCTCGGGGAGCCTGAGGATGCTGGGGTCGAGGAGAACTTCGCGAGCAGGGCCACTCAGCAAGTCCGCGAGCTCCAGCTGGGCAGCAACCTCGGGGCTGGGAAGCCCGGGCAAGATGCCGTCAAGCGTGAGCGGGAATGCGCGCGTCACCTGCTCTCCCCAATAGAGCTCCGACGCCCGCTGTTCAACGACGGCGGACGGGGCGAGGTTGACGGGGTCCCCCTCGTCTACCAGGATGGTGGCGAACCTCCGGAAACGGGCCAATGCTTGCACCTGTGCCGGAGAAGGCTCCGCTGGGTACTTGAGGAGCTTCGCGAGGAGGCGCGGGCCCCCCAGGAGCCCGTAGTTCGTGACCAGGGCGGTCCACTCGACCCAGGCGTCGATCCCGACCTCACGGCTCACGGGGGGAAGGGACTGGGAGGCTCCGCGGCGGCTCCGGATTGCCGCCAGCGCGGCAACGAGGCCAGTCGAGCGAGTCGGCCGCGGCACAAGCAGCAGCTCCCCGGGACCGGCCAAATCTTGCCACGCGCCGCACGGCCAAAGGCGGCTGAGTTCACCTAGGCCGCCGGGTCTGCCCTCGATGTGCTCCACGAGGACGGCCCCAAGCTGCGCGACCGATGCCCCGGTGGAGAGCTGCTCGGCTAACCGGCGCCGCGCCCCTCGCATGTCGAGAACTGGCTCGCTTGCGCCGCGTCCAAGGTCCAGGCGGTCTATGAGAGCCTTAGCCGTCTCAGCCTCCAGCCGTGAACCAACGCGGAGGCTTCGCCCGAGGAGCGCCTCCCGCTCAAGGGCTTCGGCCCCAGGGTGACCGCCCCATTCGGCCCAGTACGATCGCGGGAGTCCGAGCGACGGGACGCCTCCTCCGACGTACACGGATCCGTCCGCCGAAGTCCGCGAACCGAGGTCACCGACGAGGATGTGCACCCCGGAGTGGACGCAGATCTCCCCATTCGCCGCCTCCTTATGCCCCCGCCGGCGCTTTTCCCCGAGTCCGGAGCGATCCTCCGCACCAACAGCGGCGCCTAGTAGCGGGGCCCTCGCGGGGGAGGCCGCCGCGGGCTGGGCCTCCTTCCTCTCCCTGCTTCGTGCCCCCCTTTTCCTTTTCCTTTGGGATCTCGTCCTGGCGGAGGCCGCCGGCGGCTCCTGCTCCTCGAACGGGTTCCCGATGAGCTCCGGCCGCGGCGCCGAAGCCGGGAGGGTGCGGCCCGCCTGTCCTGCTCCTCCTCGCGCCGCGCGTCCCGGAGGTCCCCCCTGTCGTACGTCCCGACGGTGTTCACGGGGATCAGCTCTAGCCAGCGCGCGTTCGTCCAGTTGCCCTCTTCGATGGACAGCTCGATCGCCTTGAACCTCTGCACGGCGATGTCGAGGGCCGTCAGAATCCTGCCCTGCAGGATGGCCTCGATGATGGCCGCGATGGTCTTCAGCTCGCGCGGATTCCGGAGGCCCACGGCGGCCTCCCCGGCCGGGCGAGCGCCGAAGAACGACGTGACGAGGTAGGCCCGGATGACGTTGTTGAGGAGGCCCCCCCCGAGGAGGTCCTCCGCCGCCACCCCGCGCATGTGGCCCTCCATGCGCCGGAGAGCCTGCTGCGCGAGGACCCCGGGGAACCTGGCCGCTACGACGTGCGTCGGGGGACGCCCTCGGTCGCGCTCCCCACGGCGGCCCTCCCCGGCCGCGTCGGGAACGGCCCAGAAGGCCGCCCCTGGATCTCCTCCACCCTCCGTGTCCGCGGCCGCCAGGATGCGCCCGACGAGCTCCTCGCGGAGCCGCCCCGTGAGAGCGGCTGCAGGCACCTCGCCTGGCGGCAGCGGCAGCGCGGGCCTTGCAAGGTTCATCCGCTCCCGGGCTGCGCGGAGGAGTCCACGTAGCTCGGCGGCACGCGGATCCTCGCCCGCCGCGCCTGCGGCAGGGGCGAGCGGATCGACCGGAGCGCCCCCAGGACCAGCACGCGGCGGCGCAGCGCTGGCCCCTGGCCCCGCAGCCGCCGGCTCCACGGGGGCCGCAGCGGCGCCTCCAGCTCCAGCAGCTCCCGCGGCCGCGTCGGGGACGGGAACACCGAGGGCGCCCGCAAGCGCCTGGAGCTCGTCCGCGAGCCCCGGATCTGCAAAGGGTGCCTGAGCCCCGGGGGGCCCAGGCGAACGTTGTGATGGCCGGCGGGCGGCAGCGCCCGGTGCAGCAGCAGGCCGGCGGCGGGCGGCCTGCGGCACGGCGGCAGCTGCCGGTCGCCGCATGCGCGACGACATCGTCGCGGTGCAACGCGGGGCGCCGCTGGCAGGCCCGCGACAGCATGCCTATGTGCCGAAATGCCTGCGGGTGCTATCACTCCGCACTAGCATCCGGGGCGTATTCATATACACATATATGTGTATATATATATATATATATATATATATGTGTGTGTGTGTGTGTGTGTGTGTGCACGCAGGTATTGACACACACAAGCGATCTGTGTGCACCTATATAGGCGTATGCGTACATCTGCCCCCGTGGGCCAACACCCACGTGTACCTTCTGCCCTGCCCGACGTGGGTGGCCATTTGGGCGCTCGGTCGCGTGGCCGCTTCTGAGCAACGGCTGGGCGCTGCAGCTGGCCCCTGAGCCTGCGTCCTCGACGCCGCGCCGCGGCGGAGCGAAGAGTCTACTCCAGATTTCGTAATAAAGGGAGGGGGGTCTCATTTCGGGGGGGTCTCTGCCAGGCTATCTTGGAGGGCCTGGGGGGTCTGGGGACGATGTTTTGGAGGGTTCTCCCACGGGGGAGGTCTGAAATGGCTTGTCTTGGAGGGTCCAGACCCCCTTCCTTTTAGTACGAAATCTGGAGTATCCTCCCTTCCGAGGCTGGAATGTATACATGACCATCGCCTGGAGGATCAGTGTTCGGGGACCTAGACAGGCGGTGGATGTTGACATGTTCGAGCTCCCGGGGGGGCTAAAATATATGCATATCCAACGCCCGCTGGGGCACCAGGACGTCGGTTCCCAGGCGGTGGATATGGATATCAATTCCCGCCTCGCATCCTGCCATGCCGTCGCGCAGGAGGAAGGCGGAAGGGGCCTGAGGCGGCGGACCGCGGAGGAGGTCCGCGAGCGCGCGTCAGCGCTCCGCACGACCCTCCAGCAGTCACGCCGCCAGGCAGAGGACAGCAGGTCGCGAGCGCGTGGCAATGCTCCGTGTGACCCTCCGGGACGGGAGCCAGGTAGAGCCCTCCGGGGCGGCCGCCAGGCTGGCAGAGTCTCCCTTTCGCCGAGCTCGCAATCGGGCGAGGAGGGCGGTGCGTCCGCGGCATCTTTCTCAGCCGCTCTCCCGGTCAGGGGTGGTGAGGGGTTGTACCAGTGAACTCACGCGGGGCCTCTTCAGCGCCACCCTCCTTGATAGTGGAGAGAGGTGCTCCGACGGGGGGTTGCCGTCCACATCTGCGTTAGCGGAGCTTGCGAAGGCGTTCCTGCTACCGCGGGCCGAGCCCCAGGGTGAGCGAGAGCCTTGTCGGTGCCACAGTCTTTGGTGCGATTACTGGCATCGGCGATGCGAGCTCAGACGCTGGCACCGGCTTCCACATGAACGCAGGCGGGCTTGATTCTTCAGCCATGGGCCCCGCACTATTCGAGGCTGAGGCCTCTGTTGGCCCGGGCCCTGACGTCGACGGAGAGGTGTCTTTCACCAGTTTGGCATTTTCGGGGGGGTCCCGCTTCAATGCGGAGCAGGGGATCACAAACTTGACGTGAACAGGGAGGCTGTGCTGCCGTCGGTCAGCAGGACCACCCAATACTGGCAATGATTTCCCGCGCGGCTGTGGACACCCCGCGCGGCTGAGAACAATACCGTGTTTGCCGTTGACGGGTGTTTTTTTTGCTGGCTGGTGACCGTTACTCTGGTGCTCTCCAGGATGGGCGGAGGCACGGGTGATGGGACCGATGTTTGCGTGGTCAGGCAGCGCGTCGGCCTGGCGGGACCCGAGCGCGCATCTGCAAAAGCAGCCGCCCATTTGGATCCCAAAGAAAAAGGCGTCAGGGAGACAAAAACCAAAATCATCGCCGAATGCTTGAATTTTTGTGGGGGGGGTCTGTTTTTTGGTTACATTTTTAATGATAATGGTCGCATGCGACCAGTATCCCAAGAAATCCACCCTAATTTTCTAACTCGGCGTGAATTTAAAGGCGCCGCTCCTGTTTCTTGGTCGACTTGGAAGGTCGGGGCAGCGGCGGCGCCGGCGGCGCCCGCGGCGCCGGCGCCAGCGGCACCGCCAGGAGCGGCGGCGCTGGCGGCGGCGCCTGCGGCGCGCGCGGCGCCCGCGGCGCCGGCGGGCCAGCGGCGCGGCGCGGCAGCGGCGGCGCCGGCGCGCCCGCGGCGCCGGCAAGGCCCCGCGGCGCCCGCGCGCCGACGCCAGCGGCGCCACCGGGAGCGGCGGCGCCGGCGGCGCGCGCGGCGCCCGAAGCGGAGGCGGCCCCAACGGCGCCGGCGGCGCCAGGGAGCCCCGGCGGTGCGCGCGCGGCGGCAGCGGCCTCCAGCCGGCGGGCCAACGCCCTCCGAGCCTGCCGCCGCCGCCGCGCCGCGGGCGTCTCAGGAAGGCCAGCCATGCCGAGGCGGCGGCGGCGGCGGAGGCGCACGGCCCGGCCGCGCCGCCCAGGCCACGCCGGCCACCTCGAGCCCCGACCCCGGGGGAGGAGGCCCCCCCGGGAAATGGCTTGAGCCAGGGGGGCTTGAGCCAGGCTGGCTACGGAACTGGTGGGCATACGCGAAGCGTCTAGAATTGGAGCTACAAGGAGTTGCATCCAAGCAGGGGAACGCACGGATATATTGTAGGGTTAGAGCGGGAGGGCGAAGAGAAATTGGGGAGTGTGGAGGAGCAAGAGGAGAGGAGAAATAAGAAGAGGCTGAGACGCCAGACAGGCGGCCTGGTGCATGCTTGGTGGAGGTGGTGGGATGAGCTCGATGAAATTGCCGTCAGACTACTACGACTAGTCTCCGCCGTGACGACGTGGACGCCGATACCTGACACTGCGTAAATCGTTGGACCTTGTGCGATCTGCCATGTTCGCGCCACTGTGGGTGACCTGGGTGCGGCTAGGCATGCAGATCGGCGGTGGCACACGCAATTGCGCTCCCAAGAGGACATGTGCGAGGACTTGGGCTCGAGCTCAGGGCTGACCTGCGGCTCCTGCTTCTTCTGCGACACGCGGAGCTTGGCACCTGCGCCGCCCCCCGCGAACTTCACGCTCTTGCATACTGCACTCGCGTACAGCCGTCGTCACTTTACATGCATTTGTATAATGTGTACATTATAAATCTGCCGATGAGCATGTACACATGCTCTGCTTCTCGCCCTCTTACTCTCTCCCTCTCTCTTTCTCTCGGTGCGCCTCTCTTGATAGCTAAACATATACTTTAAAACATGTTACACAAATGAACGTGTAAGCTGTGGAAAAGGAATGCGGTGAACGCTGTGCGATACCAACAGCGAAAGCAGATCGCCGCAATGCATGTGGTGAAAAGGTGAGTGCTGTAAACTGCGTGGTGTAAGCTACGCGGTGCAAGCTACAATGTGCAAGTTACGTGGTGTAGGCTGAGCGGTGCAACGTATGTGGAGCACGCTCTGTGCTGCAAGCTGAGTGGTGTAACCTATGTGGTAAGTACTGCTCAGTGCAATGTACGCACCCGTGCTGCGCACGAGGCCCCCGAAAGGAGCCACGGACGGGCACCAGGCGAAACCAAGGCACAGACACACACACACACACACTTACACACACACATACACACACACACACACGAAAAAGCACACACGCACACACGCACACGCACACACGCACACACGCACACACGCACACACACACACACGCACACACGCACACACGCACACGCGCACACGCACACACGCACACACGCACACACGCACACACGCACACAAGCACACACACACACACGCGCGCACGCACGCACGCACGCACGCACACGCACAGCGCACGAGGCGGCCACGAGGAGCCCCCGAGGCGCCCCGGAGCTCGGCACACCCACCCCGCGCACGAAGCGCCAACGAAGCGAGCGCCCACGGGCGCCCACCGGGCACCAGCCGAAGACCTGGCACGCCCGGCCAAATGCCCTCGCGAGAACAGCAGGAGCCCCTAAACTGACTACCTACCAGACCACCCCATCCCAACCCGAAGACCCGAATTTCGGGTTGGGGTGGGGGTATGGGCTCCATATGTGTTTTTTCGATGTTCCCGGACCCCCCCCCACTAGAAATAGAGGGTAAATCTGAGCCTTCGGGTTGGGTTGGGGTGGTTTGGTGGGTGGTGATAAACGTGAGGATCGTGATGTGAGCTGTGGGGGGTGACGACTATGCGATGCAAGCTCTGTGATGCAAAGTATCTGGTGTACACTGCCCGGGTGTGAACTGGATGTGAAAATTATATGTGGTGCAAGCCGTGGTGTGTAGGCTATGCCGTGTTATCTGCGTGGTGCAAAAGATGTAGTGTAAGCTGTGCGGTACAAGCCGTGACGCGTAAGCTCAGAGCACGGGGTGCCCAAGAGGCGCCCAGGCGGCAACGTGGCACAACCTCGGGAACCCCGCCCAACGCACGGGCAAACGAGGCGGCACGGGTGGCAAACCCAGAACACCAGTTCAATTGTTCAAGGAAGCCAGCTGGGAACCCTTAGGTGCAAGCGCTGTGTGGGGGGAACGCATACAACAATCTGATGTGCACGTGTGCGCATACTGATGTTTATATATATATATATATGTATACACACATGTAGACATACACCTCTCAATGCACATCGACATGTGTACACCACACACATCTATATTCACAGTTACACACATATGTATATGTATACGTATACATATACATTCACAAACATATGCCGAGACACACATAAATCTGTGCGGAGACAAACTAATTCCCAGATTCCTACATACATATATATATATATATATATATATATATATATATATTTGTGTACACACCACCGTGCGTGCACGGAGTGGGCGTGTTAGAATTGTCGTCTGCGGCCCGAGGCCAGCCCCCCCTCCTCGAACCGACCATCTCCAGAAAATCGTCCCCGCTGGATGTTCTTTCCAACGCTCGAACTTCAGCCTCCAAACGGTTCCAAGACGGCCAAACACCGTCCCAAGACAGCCACGCTCACCCAAAGATGGCCCAGACGGCCCCCAAGACGGTCCCGAGACTGCCCCACAAAAGCCTCAAGACCGTCAAAGGGGGACTCAAGATAACCCAAAATGATCTTCAGACGGCCCAAGAGACATCCAAGACGTCCCAAGAGGGCTCCAGGAGGACGCCCCAAAGGTTCTCGAAAAGCAAGAACCATTGATCCTTATTTTTCTTTTGATCGATTTTGATACACTGGTTGTTTGTGCTTCCGAAAAGCCAATGCGGCCCCCACATGCTCTCAAGAGGTCTCCAAGACAGGCCAACATGGCCCCAACAGGGCTTCCAAAGGTTCCAGGAGGGCCCCCAGACAGCCAAACAATGCCGGACGGGGTCCAAAGTCGGCCCAAGAGGCCCCGAGACGGCCTTGAAGGCTCCAAAGACAGGCCCAAGATGCGGTCCAACACAAGGAGATGGAGCTGGCCTTGAAAGCCTCTCGGACCAAAACAGCCTCAAAAAACCGAAGCGTACTCTCGAGAGGTTTCCAACATTCCCCTGGGAGGTGCCGGGAGGCCCCCCAAAGCCCTCCACGAAGCCTTCAACAGATCACCAAGGACCCCCCTTAAACGGATCTAGCAGACAATAAGCAATATACGCAACATAAACTTGATCGCTGTTGCTGCATAGCGTGGTCCCCCCCCCCCCTTCGGGGCCCTCCAATGCCGACGTCGGTGGAGGGCTCGCCTCGGGGCCAGCGGCCTCGCGGCTGGTCAACGCCGTCGATGGCCCCCTCGGGGAAGAATTCTGCGAGTCCGCAGATGGAATGGCAATTGAACTCGCCACCTCCAGAATCATGGGCCCCGAGCGTTCGCGACGGCTGCCAAGGGCGCGGCGGCCCGATCGACGACCACGAAAGGCCAGAACAAACAGTTTACACCCCTCAAGCGCCACAAGGGTCGAAAAAACACCCTGGGCCCCGCGGGGGCCAGCCCAAATTAGCCTGACAAGGGACCTAACCATATGCAGGTGCGAGTACCGCAATAGTGATTCACTTTTTCGGTGGCGATCCCTATGAGGCAACGAACCGTGCTAGGGGTGTGCCGACATGAGTGGCGTGGTACACAACGCGAACGAAAACGATTGATCTGAGTACGTCGGGAGACTGAGCGCGGGTGAATCTGCGCGCGTGCGTCAGACTGTGAATGAATCTGCGTGCGAGCGAGTCTACGTGCATGAATGCGAATATGACAAAGCGTGGTGCAAGTGTATATGAATGTCAATAGTTTGACATCGACTGCCTCTGAGTACTCGTGACGCTGGGCGTGGCCGCCGCGAGGAGCTTCCCCGGGACTCCCCGACGGCATCGCCCGCGCGCCGCGACGCCAATGTCGGCGTGCCCCCCGCGAGGATCGCGCCCGCTTCCTCCCCTTCCTTTCCTCCCTCTTTGCCCGCGCACTCAAAAGTCCAAGGCTGCGGGCGCAGCGCAGCGCGGAGTCCCCGCGACGCGCGCAAGTCGCCCCGGAGGGGTCCCAGCGACGCGCGCGGGTCGTCCACTGCGCGGAGCAAAGAGAGCTAGCTGGCTGGCTGATAGCGGGCAAGGCTCTTGCCGCTGGGCAGAGCGACGACGGGCGAGCGAGGCGCTGGGCAGAACGCAGCACGGAGCCCCCGCGACGCGCGCAGGTCGCCCCGGAGGGGTCCCAGCGACGCGCGCGGGTCGTCCGCTGCGCGGAGCACAGAGAGCTAGCTGGCTGGCTGGGACCTGCGGTGGGGCTCCATATGGGGCCACGAAACGTGTGAGAGGTGTGCCGACATGAATGGCGGGGACGCATGCGGACTGCGCCACGGGGACCGTCGGTGGAATTCCTATGGGGCCACGAAACGTGTGAGGGGTGTGCCGAAACAAATGGCTGGAACGCGTGCGGACTGCGCCACTGGGACCTTCGGCGGAGCTGCTGTGGGGCCACGAAACGTGTGAGGGGTGTGCCGACGTGTATGGCGGGAACGCATGCGGACTGTGCCACGGGGACCTTCGGCGGAGATCCTGTGGGGCCACGGAACGTGTGAGGGGTGGGCCGACATGAATGGCGGGGGCGCATGCGGACTGTGCCACCGGGACCTTCGGCGGAGCTCCTATGGGGCCACAAAGCGTGTGAGGGGTGGGCCGACATGAATGGCGGAGACGCATGCGGACTGTGCCACTGGGACCTTCGGCGGAGCTCCTATGGGGCCACGAAACGTGCGAGGGGTGCGCCGAAATGAGCGGCGGGGACGCATGCGGACTGTGCCAGTAGGACCTTCGGCGGAGCTCCTGTGGGGCCACGAAACGTGCGAGGGGTGTGCCGACATGAATGGCGGGAACGCATGCGGACTGTGCCACGGGGACCTTCGGCGGAGCCCCATATGGGGCCACGAAGCGTGTGAGGGGTGGGCCGAAACGAATGGCGGGGCGCATGCGGACTGTGCCACTGGGACCTTCGGTGGAGCCCCCTTATGGGGCCACGAAACGTGTGAGGGGTGTGCCGAAATTTGTGTGCGGGACGCATGCGGGCACACCCACAAGGACCTTCGGTGGATCTCCCTATGGGGCCACGAAACGTGTGAAGGGTGTACCGAAATGGGTGTGCGGGACGCATGCGGGCACACCCACTGGGACCTTCGGTGGAGCTCGGAAAGGGGCAACGAACCGTGCGAGGGGTGGGCCGAAATGGGTGTGCGGGACGCATGCGGGCACACCCACTGAGACCTTCGGTGAAGCTCTCTTTGGGGCCACGAAACGTGCGAAGGGTGTGCCGAAATGGGCGTGCGGGACGCATGCGGGCACACCCACTGGGACCTTCGGTGGAGCTCCCTATGGGGCCACGAAACGTGCGAAGGGTGTGCCAAAATGGGCGTGCGGGACGCATGCGGGCACACCCACTGAGACCTTCGGTGGAGCTCCATATGGGGCCACGAAACGTGTGAGGGGTGTGCCGAAGTGTGTGTGTGTGTGTGTGTGTGTGTGTGTGTGTGTGTGTGTGTGTGTGTGTGTGTGTGTGTGTGTGTGTGTGTGTGTGTGTGTGTGTGTGTGTGTGTGTGTGTGTGTGT